CTACTACAAGTTTACAATTCTGAAATTCACAGGGCTCTGAAAACAAAGCTTTTTCTTCAGTCTGTTGCCAAACTATTAATAACTTGGCTGCAAAATCCGACCTGAAATTTGTGTGAATACAAATATATTTTATTGTGGCATAAGTGTTTTTAGCCATAGGTTTCTGTCTTAGACCCTGCTGTGGATGTTTTTTGAAATACATTACCTCGGGCCACAGTGGTTTTGGATAAGGGATTGTAGACATGCTATTACCGATCATGTCTTTACATAGTGCTCTCTGGGGACAAAACATTTTCCTATGTGTGACCTCAACAGCCCTGTGATACTGGCACAATGGGTATCATCCTTATTTTACAGATGGGCGGTTTAGGGGTTTTGTTTTGCTTACCACAGGTTACACAGGCGTGGCCACATCAAGAGGAGAAATCTTGCAATATGGCTGAATTTCAATGAGGGGGTTGGCGAAAGACATGATATGAAAAGACTGTAAGGGCTTTGAACAGGAAGATCTGAATAAAGTATTTTAGTTAGCCCTTGGCTGAAATGAAGATACAGTATGAGGGAGATAAGGAAATGCAAGGCCAGGCACTGTGGGCTTTGAGCTATTTGTTCTGAAATAGAGTATTTAGAAGCACTGATAAACATTAATGTGGCTCAACACCTCAGATTAAGTCCTTTGTTTTCCCCATTAAGCCTACAGGCTGTACCTTGTGAACACTAGCATGGCTATGAAATGACTGGTTCAGAAACACTTCCTTTGTAAGTGTAGACGAGTTGACTTTTCAACAAGAAAATCTCTAAAAAGGAAATAAAAGGCTGTGATACTGCTAGTATTCAAGCCACAAAAATGGACTCGACTTGGACTCTGGAACCCAGAGGGTGATTCAGCTAGGAATGTAGTTGACACTCATATCGTTAAGTGTTTTTCTCTTCCCAGTAAATATTAAAAATAAACGGTATTTCTTAGGGTAGCCATACATTTATTTCATGTTGGTTAATTTCTAACAAATATTAAATTTGAGAAAAATCTTACTTTGCTAGAATTGTGGCAAAGAGGTAAATTCATTTCCCCGAGATTGTGCCTACTCTTCCTTCCCTTTTGCTCTCTCTGTACTCAGCATATACTTGTACCCTAACACTTAACCTGCTGCCTTCTGGAAGAGAGCCTGACACACTTCTGAAGCCACAAGCCAAACACAGTACCTGCCACAAGTATAGGCCCAAATATTTGCTGAACAGGGTATATGGAAATATCATGAGAACTTGTTACCATTGACATTTAAATGTGAAGAAACCTTCATCATCAATTTGGACAAAAGATAATTAGAATTTGGTCCCAGTTTATATGGTAATTCCTCAATGTTCTTCACAGAATAGGTATCTTTTAAAAGTGTGTTCAAAGTACTTCTTACTCAGAGCAAGCAAAATGACTTTTTTTGCAACAGGGTCTTGTTCTGTCACGTGGGCTGGAGTGCATTGGCGTCATCATAGCTCACTGCAACCCCAAACTCCCGGGTTCAAGTGATCCTCCCGCCTCAGCCTCCCAGAATGCTAGGATTACAGGCCACATTTACATCTATTATACATCCTAAATAAGTCACAACAAAAAGACAAACTGAGATTAAAAAAACATTCAGAAAAGGAAAAACTCCATGTTCATACATCAAAGATCAGCATAATACTAAGGGTACGTATGAGAGTTTATGGAACATTGGTATTAGAAGATATTCAAATACATGAAATCAGCCTATGTGGATGGGTGGATGACCCTTTGAAATTCTGCAAAGGATGAACTTGACTATTAAAGAAGAGAGTTGATTTTTATGGTAAAAAAATTTAAATAACCAGTAGAGTTATGTGATATAAAAATAAAAGTCATTTTTAGACAAAGTGAAAAGTTAAAATTTGGAAATTCCTGTTTCCCTATGTTACATGGTTTTTCACACTGTCATTTTTCATGGGTAAGAATCACAGTTGGGAAAACCTTAGTATCTCTGATTTGATATTTAGTAGTACTACCGAGCCAGTCACACACCCTTAGGGTCATCAGCATACACTTATTTACTACCTATGGAAATTCACCAACCATCAAAGCGCCCACTTCTAATTTTCCATTGACAGCAAAGCAAAATATTGTGACAAAACAAGTTTTATTTCACAAAATATTATGTGATATCAACTCCACTTCAAAAGGGAACAAATTATTTTTAATTAGATAGTCCAGAGGAAGAGAAACAGGGTGAATCAGGGACTAAAAGATGTCTTTGGGGGGGGAAAAAAGACAAAAATACATCACCCAAGATGAGGTAAAAGGGACCAAGAACCACTGAAAAACTACTCAGTGCAGTATGTCTAGGAGTAGAAGGAACAGAGATTGTATATATACTTGCATTGTAAATAACGTGCATCATACCAACTTAATCTATAATTAAAATTTAGTGAATTAATCTAATGAAAATATTCACACAGCATTATGTAGGCAAGTATGTTTAAAAAAATATTTTAATAAGCATATTCAGAATGGCAGACAAGGAATGGGGGAAGGGAATTATTTTACAGTGCAAAATTACTATGCATAAATTTAAAAACATCTAATTCATAATTTTAAATGCCTATTTAAATATTACTTCAAATACATTTTAAAGCTCAACAGATTTGTGTTGAACTGAGTTGCAGCTTCTGAACTCTATTTGAAAACACATCATGAAACAATGCCATTCCAAATGAAAATGATAGTGCTTTGCTAGGGATGGGAATGAGGTGGGGAGACTGACTTTTAACAAAGACTTCTTTTCCCAATGCAAATTGTCAAGAGTTGAAGAGTTCTGAAATGTACTAAATCTTAAGCAAATTAAATTCATGATTATTACTAAGAATTTTTAAATAGTGCAATGACTTATCAAGTTATAGTGGCTGCATTATGAAGAACAAAGTACTATATGAAATAACCTGTATAAACACAAAATACAATTAAATATTTCTTTATGAAAAGCTGAGCATTGCATATTATAATAGTGGAATGTCTTTTATTAGGCATATTTTAAAAAGATAAGATTAAGAAAGTAAAATTTCCTAACATGTATACATGTGCTATGTTTACAAACATGCCTGAGAGAATTTACTTAAAATGTTCCTGTTATAGTAGTTTGCAAGAATTTCACAAACCTGCAAATAAAATGCATCTTTTTAAAAAAGTGAAAATGGTATGTATCTCTAATATTGCAACAATTTAAAAAGTATAGCATCACTAATCTTTTAAAACATTTCCATAGACCGTCTTTGACAAAGAGCTAGGATACTTTGGATTCATTAAATAAAATCTGATTTAGAAAATGGATTGTGAACATCTGCTAAAACTGCTGCCATTCTGGATAAATTAATGTTGTAAGTAAAACAAAACAAAACCAACCTCACTTTTCTTTCTCTTTCTTTCCACCCCTTTTTTTTATTTGGTTGTGTATGTATGTACCGTGAGTGTATGTTTTTTTTATTCAGTTGTTTTTCGTTGGGTTTTTTTTCTGTTTGGGAAAAAAATTGTTCACATTGGTGAAGGGAAGCAGTCTGAACATGTTAACAGTAATACTTCATGGGGGTAAGGCCTAAATGATAATTTCTCAGTGCAAACCTCTACTCAATTGCATTAGACAGTTGAGCCATTAAAAACAAGACCACAGAGGATTTATTTTAAAAAGGCATTGGCTCTTGAACCGATGGCTGAAAATGAATTGGAAGAAGCATTTGGAGTAGGCCTGTGTGAGGAAAACAAGAATAGTTAATAATCTTTTATAAAAGTTTGGATATAGGTTGGTCTATCAGCTGTATAAAACTACATTTTTTAACAAGAATTTAGCACTAAAAATAAAATGGCACTCTTACAAGGCTATGCACATGGATAATCCTATTTGTAATCACACAGAGCAATGGTTATTGTGTATCTTATTTTAATTTTGGAAAAACTTATCAAATCTGAAAAACTAGGCTGATAGCTGGAAAAGTTTGAAAAATTTTCAAACTTCATCACTTTCTCCTCAGAAAATCATTATTTGTCTGCCAACAATTACTCCTTGTGTGTGCCAGTATCTAAGTGTCACTTGACCTTTTCTCCTCTGTTTAATGCAAAAATGGGAAATTTTATAATGCATATAAAAATAACTCAACAGGATTCTGGTCAGCATGATACATTTAAGCACTTAAGCTGACATTAAACTTTTGTCTTGCTTCAAAAACAACTTTGAAAATTATAACAAATGCAAAACAAACTGCAATTGAAGCATCATGCTTAATTTCAGAATTCTCAAATTATTTGTCCTTAAGTAGAAATTTGAAAAAACAAATTTTCACAATCCTTTATGAATGATTTTACCACCTGGATAAGAAACATGACTTAGTTATTACTACACAAATACTTAAAAAATTCATTAGAAAAACCTTAGCAAAATAAAATGAAAGCTGACAGACTCAGAATATCAATTCCTCTCATAAAAGTTTACCAACTGTACAAGTTAAGAAAATTATACAAGCTTTTGTATTAAGAAAGGACAGCTCAGTCAAGACATATGTACTGTAAAAATCTTTCAAAGGCTACAAAGAATCTGGAAAAATACAGAATGTATTTCTTAAGCCCAGATAAGAATATGGAAAGACATCATTGATGTCAACAATTTTACCCATACAAACCTGACTTGGTTTATTTTTAAACTTCTATATATAAAAAAATCATGCTAGCATAACTTTCAGGATTCATAGGGTTTCCTTAATAATGATAATTTGTATGGAGAGAAAAATGTCTGTTATAAAGACATTTCAAGAAACTGAGAAAAAAATGGTCTTAAGCAGAAATTTGGACTTGGTTTTTCCATTCATTCATTAAACTAAGCAAAAATTACCTTGTGAAATTTTATGATTAATACATCAAATGAGAAGTTATAGATATATATCTAGTTGATTTAAACTTACTAATTTTTTTATATCCTTAAAAGGTTCTTTGACGATTTAAAAATAAAATATCTGCAAAAGACAGAATTAAGAAATCTTATTTCCTAAAGTTAGGACTCAATTCAATTTTCAAATTTTAACCAACTACTTCAAGGAAATCAACTTTGTAAGGTAACCCATCAACCCTGAAAATTTTAGTCACACCAGAATTTACTCCAGAGAACGTAAAATTAAGATCTAAAATTTAGTCATCTGTGTTTTCAAGTTCTTCAAATTTTCCATGTGAGATTGCTTCTTGGAAAAATTCAGAAGAACCTGGACTTTCTTTTCCATTGCTGTTTACCCTTTGCCTTTTGGCAGGTCTCTCACTTTTTTCATCAAAATCATTTTCATTTCTTGCAGTCATATGGGCAGGTTTTGGGTCAGTGGTAAGGTTATCTGTTTCATAACCATTAGTATCCATATCTGCATGAAGTGGTTTCTTATTTCCACCTGTTGGTCCATTAATGTGTAACCCTTCAACTTTTACTTCTTCTTTGTTTAATATTTCACCTGGTCCATTAGATGACACCCCTAAGTTGGAAGAAATATAATTGAATATGAAAAAATTAAGTTTGTAAATGATTATAAAACAGCTACTGCAAAACAGCTTTTCATCAAAGAAGGTATCAAATCTGTATATATGTATGGTCTGAATTCTTGCTCTATTAATTACTAGCTGTGTTACCTTAAGTAAGTTATTTACCCTTTCTGTATCTTAGTTTCATTACATATACAATGAAGATGATAAGGTGTACCTCACAGGACTGTTATGAAGATTAAATAAGTTCATAAATATAAAAAACTAAGAACAGAATTTGGCATATGTTAAAAGCATATTAGGTATTATGTGACAACAAATAAGGGTTAGATCTAGTAGTCTAAATAAGCTGAATTAACAAAGGAGATATGCATAAATTATTCAGATTTAGCAAAAGGATTATAACTTTTAAAACCACATGAAAACAAAATCAATGTTCTTATAGATGCTTGAGTTTTCTACTGCCATGTAAAAGCAGGGTGCTATGACTTTTTTATTCTTACTGTAAATCCATGAGAATTGTGCTTCAAAAGATCACACACTATATTTACCTAAGAAGACTTAAATAGTCTGCCATAATGTTAAAAAATTACTGCTGTACTCTCTAAGCATATATAAAATGCTAAAAGTAAACACAAATTCCTTCATAATAAGTGAGAAAAATAAAAGCATAATTATTCTAACAAAAGAAAATAAGAAGGTCATATTAGAGTTGACTGCAAAGTGGAATACAAATTTTAGTGACAGGAAGTAAAATACGGGCTGTACCATTGGAGATAATTAAAACTTAATTGCCTGAAAAATATTCCGCATAAAGGATGAGCCTCAAATATTACATTTTGGTCAAAGAAAATATTCTATTTTCTCTAACTCAAAAATGCACTCGAATCATGAATGCACATGGGGATTAAGCATCATATGAAAGAACAATTCTGTAATGGCAAAAAAGCTAGATGAGCCTGTGACAGCTCAAAAATAAGTACAAGATTTTAAAACACTAATTAAAGCCTTTTATTACAAAAAGTAAAATTGGGTTGGTAAGTTCCTTTCTTTCTTTGAAAAAGCTGGGAATCTTGACTGTACATACCTAATGTGAATGGCTTCTGAGTTACTGAATAATTGATAAGTAATTTATGAACACTCTCCCAGCCTAACAGCGTGTTCTCATCAAATAGTTAAAAAGAAAAAAAGGGGGGGAATTATTTATTTGGTGTTAAGATGTTAAGAACAAACAAGAAAAGTGGAAATAAAATAACTGTCTCCCTCCCTGAGCTTCCACCCTTAGTCCCAAGGTCAGAGTCTCAGCAGCATCTTCTACTACAGGATGGATGTGGCTGACATTAGACATCATGTCAATGAACCTTCCCGGACCAGGACATGGTTGCTGGGCCCTAAGTTTTGTCTGTTCGGCTTGTTCTTAGAGGAGAAGTAGTGAGGGAATAGAGAGGGCTGATGAAATGAACTAAGTATGTACACTAACTGCAGTGCCAGTGTGAGACCAAAGGTCAGAACGAGGGTCAGAGCTTTCATACCATTTCTCTTCCAGCTTTTACCAGGGAGACGTTAGTTCTTCACTGGTCCTCCCATAATCTCTAATTCACCAGTTTCCTCCAAAAGAGGAGCTGGGGTAGGGGTGGGAGCTTATTACTTTCTGCATGGCAACACTCTTACTTAGGAAGACCATTTTAATCAAAGTAATTCTCTGACTAGCTCTTACTAATCAGCACGGTAATCTCTGGTCCACTTTATATTTTAAACAGGAGCACTATCTGAGAACCTCAAACACATCAGTGTTTTAAGCCTTTTGCTTCTCTTTTTCACAGAGATAAAAACAAATAATTCTGTAGAATATTAATGTATAAGCTGATACCTGCTTTATCTTTTCTCATTCTTCCAGGCTATTATGCTATCAAAGAGAACTTAAATATTCCAAACAGTGCCTTTGTTACCTACTTCTTTTCACTTATATACTTAAAGCACTTTCCCGATAAAGTGTTACAAATTCTCAAGGTATTTCACAAATCTCTGTCTTTCTGATGTGAAATGGCTAGTTTTAGTCTAAGAGTTAACAGGAATACTTATATCCAGGCATCATCCCAACTGGATAAGAAAAGAGATGCTACCGAAAAAGAACAAATTTCTGAGAAGAAATAGTCACTGCTGATAGAATGTTTTAGTAAAATTACTTTTTAGTGATGTAAATGGAAATTCTTTCCCATTAGTTTGTATTCTGTGTTAGTTTATATGTATGCTGATGTTATGTATATTTCATCTGTTATTTACAATTTTTACTTTCTGCTTTGGTAGTTTAATAGAAACTCAAACTGAATTTCCAAGCTGCTGAAAGAAAAGTGCCCCTCATTATTAAGAAACAGAAACGTTTCTTTGGTTGCTTACCATTTTGATTACTATTGCTTATGGTGCCATCTTCTTTCTCAGACTGGCTGTTACTACTGTTTGAGGCAGTTGGGGGAGGGGATGGGGCTCGACTAGAAGCAGCGCTTTCACTTTCATCTAGAAGACGATCCATGTAATCCCTGAAAATTAATAAAACAACAATTATTTTGCTAGAAATGATAAAGCTGGAAATGACCATTAGTTGAGGTTAAATTTAGACGGCTTTTTAACAAATATATCCTAATATTCACTTACATTCATTCCAGTGCCTCATCTATCACAACAGGATCTGAACATTTAAATGAAAAGCTGGTTACATATTTGTAGGAAAAATGCATAATGGCTTTAAAGTAACACATTTTAGAGACCTACAGGAAGTTTTAAAACTTTTAAAATTGTAGGCAAGTGCTTAGAGTGGCCAATGCAAACTGGAGGATCTCTAAGTGAAGAGACAGGGATGGCATCACCAGGAGTACAAAAGAATTTCTGGACACAGACTGGATTTCAAAGCTCCTAAAGGCAATACCTGAGAGATAAATTGGAGCCTAATAAAAAGAACTGATGACCTCTCCAAACCTTTGTGGAGACCTTCTGTATGACATTTCTTCCATATCTGAGCTATAATAATTCCTGGGATTATCTGCTGGCTTTATCCTGTCAGTATCTCATCAGAGGTAAGATCAGACCATTTCTGAACTGGATTCAGGGTTAGAAGACAGGGGCTAAAGAATTGTCTCTCTGAGGTTTAGTGTCTTTGCCTATAAAATACAGAGAAATCATACCTGTTATATCTATTACATATGGTTGCTGTATATGTACATAAAAATGTTTTATAAAGAACTAGGTTACTAGAATAAAGGTCAGCAAACTATGCCCTGTAGGCTGGCCACCTGTTTTCATAAAGTTTTATTAGAACCAACCACATACATTCATTTACACAGTTGTCTATGACTGCTTTTGTGCAATAACTGCAGAACTGAGTAGTTGTGACAGAGGGGTGTGTGTGTGTGTGTGTGTGTGTGTGTGTGTGTGTGAAAGAGAGAGAGAGAGAGAGATCTTAAGCGAGAGAGAGGGGGAGAGAGGGAGAGGGAGAGATATCTTAAGGTCTGCAGAGCCTAAAATATTTACTTTCTACTTCTTTACAGAAAAAGTTTGCTGAGACCTGCACTAGAATGTAATTCCCCAAGGGCAGGGATTTTAGTCTGTTTTGTTTACCCCTGCGTAACGGGTTCCTAAGTTGTGCAAGGCACAGAGAGAAGCTCGATAAAAATTTAATTTCATTATTTATCTTAAAATTCCTTTAGAATGTAAGTATAATGGAAATATTAAGATAAATCTTTTAGAATTTAATGAGCAGGGTAAGAAAAAAACAGTGGATGCTCTTAGGAATTTTTTGAAGTCTGTGTTAATAGTCTATAATATACTATTAATTGCAGTTATTCTCAAACTATATGATCAACATTGTCCCCTGGGTTATGGAGATATAAAAAATATAAGGACAGGATACTTGACTTCAAGAAACTTCCAACAGTCTGAGATATCAAACAAATTAACACACACCACAGAAACATACATGACTATGATCTAACCAATTTGATATTCTAGGCTTTACTTTCCTCATCTATAAATGGAGGAAATTAAATTTGATGGTCTTTAAAGACCTCTTCAGCTTTATGCCATTCATCATAATTACAGAACAATTACATGACAAATCTGAAGCACATAGAAACAGAAATGAGATGAATCCCAAAGAGACTTTAGAAGCTAAAGCTAACATAATAGAATGTGCATGATGAGGAAATGCTGGAAATAAATATGGTATGGCAGAAATAGGTGCTGATGTTAAAAGCCAAGCAAAGGAAACTAGAGTTGATTAGGTATCAAAATTATCTTAGATTTCTGAATATAGCAATGACTCTGTGAAAGAATAATTGTTATTATTATCATTATTTCCTAAAGATTAATGGCATTCAGAATGCTTAGGAAGTTATGCCGAGTTAATTATTACTTTTTTAAAGAATTATTTGGAAGGTCTGAATATTTTACAGTGAAAGCTCCAATTTGTATGTACATGGCTCCCAATTTTTCCAGGTAGTGAATAGAAAGAATATGTAAAAGGAACTTTCAAAGGCTGTTTGCAGGCAGAAAAGTGGCAACTATGCTTCATTCTGGAGAAAAAATGGAAAGTAACAATTTAAAGGAAAAATGAACAAATAAGTTTCAAGACAGTATGCTCTGAACTATGGATTTTTAACCTAAAAAATGAGGATGAAAAAGTCACTCAAATTTCTCTCTAAAAGCATTAACTTAATTCTTTATGAAATCACTTAAAGTGCAACTATTAACAGAAACAGGTGGTCCTGGAAGCAAGCCAGAAAAATTTCTCCAAGCTTACAGAAAATCACAATTTCTCCCCATTTGGAAAATAATGTACAGTTGGTCACTGCTTCTTACAGAAGACATAACACAGCTAAAAGGGATGAGTCTCAGTAAAAAAAATTACGGTTCTTTCAGTTAAGAAACTTTATAAAAAACCCAGGGGGGATATAACTGAAGCCCAAAAAGCCATGGTATTCCTGTCTAGGGAGAAAAAAAATTATTCACTTTGTACCATTATATCAGTTAACTCTTAAAGCCTAAGAAAAAAGATGATTACTTTTAACTGTGGCTACTCTACGTACAGAATATTTAACCTTAAGAGGAATCAAGGTTACAGATAAAAGTATCTTCAAAAAGTTTTCAGAAGCTATGGAGAGATTACTACAGAAACTAGAACGTTTGGTGGCACATCCCTACTTAACCTGTTGAGCTTGACGTCACAGAGGACCAACTAAGCCAGCCCACAACACTTCCCTTGGTGATGCTTTCTGAAAGAGAAAACTGGATGAACCATGGGTCTGACCCAGCATGGCAATTCTTATGTTCTTACTGCTGATGACGACAGATTGACTGTAGTTCATGTGTGAACATTATTTCTGAAATGGGTGAAAAAAATGAAAGACGTTACTATTGCTTCTTCCTATAGAATACTTTGAAAACTGTGCCTATTTTAAGATATATTCTGCAGACTGGATAGCTATAACTAGTTCTACATCATTATGCTTGAACACTACCAATAAAAAAAATTTAACTATAATAACATTAAGCAATTAGATAAAATTTGGAATACTATTATATATGAAATTCCACTCTAGCAATCACCAGCTTTGAATAATGGGGGATGATGTTCAAAGTCCACTGTCCCATGCTTCCAGGGGTCAATTATACCCATTTTATTCCCTTTTAGATTATTTTGCTTTGGGCTTTAGAGCATTTGATCTCCCAAGGAAGTGACCAGCAGAGACACCTATAAATGAATTGACCAACAAAGAGTCCAGCCTAGGTGTTTGAAAAGCACAGTCAAACATACATACGAGCACACCTTTCAAAGGTAATTCTTTGGCCAGCCTTAAGAATATCTTTACTGGTGCACATTGGCCAAATCAAGTCACACCTCTGCATTATTTTTATTCTATAAACATTAGGAAATGAATAATCAAGAAGACAGTATTGTAAAGTTAATTCCATCACAACAATTCATCAGCATTTTAAAGTAATTCATAAAAGACAAAGTGTTCAATACTCTTCATATTTAAATAACAAATTACCAGTTATGATGATGGTGGTGGAATGTTTTATTTCAAAGCTAGACTGAATGAGGCTAAGAGAATTTAGTGCGTGGGAACTGGATTAGGCATATCAGACATTTTGCATAAGAGTGTATATAACAACCTATATCTATGTCACTAGGAGTAAGCTAAAGTTGCATTACAAATTCTTAAATATTACTTCTGTTAGAAGAAAAAATTCAGGAAAGCTAAGAAAAGGAAAGTCACTACGCAGATACTCTTTCATCTATAAAAAGCTGGTAACAAAAAAGATGCAATTTGACCGGATTTATTATATCCCTATGTGTTTTCCTTTTATATCATCTATATTCAAATCTTGTTTTGGTTCCTGGGGTCAAAAGTAATTGGAAAAGGAAAAATATTAATTTCCTTTCTACTGGGCATATGGTCCTATAGTTTTAGAAAAGATATACTATTTTCTTTCCTATTCTCACTGCTTTCAAAGTGTTATAAGATTAAAATTATATGTGCTTATACTGAATGGAACAGAATTCAACAAAAACATGCTTTCATAGCTGTTCTGATTCATTTCCTCTCAGGGGTACCTAATAAAATAAAAATATACACTCTAAATCTTACTTTAGTGATGTTTGTTATCTCAAATAATATCAAACAGTGGTTTACAATATTTTATAAGACACTGAAAAGTCTAAATGCTTTAAAAAGATATGTCAATAGATGGTAAATTTAAACTAATGTATACTCTATTATAAAAGCAAGATTCTAAAAATCATAATTCTCTCAAGAAAAAATCTAGGAAAGCTTAGCAAAACAATATATACTTAAAAATTAACTCACGTTACACCAGGATGAAGATTATATTTCTTTTTTCCAAATCGTGTTTGTTGAGCAAAGAAATCATAACGTTCAGATTTTTTCCACATGTAATAGAATGCTACACATTCACCAACTGACCTTGTTCGGACCTGTAAGAAACAAACGTTTGTTTTTAAGAATCATCCCCTCTTTAATGGAATTATTTCATGATAAACAGCTGAAGTTTGAAAATAAATTTAGCTAGTCTTCAACTGATATATTAATATAATACTATGTATAGAATACAACACTGCAGCAGCTGTGTTGAAAGCTATTCTTTCTAAATTTCCATTAAGAGACATAATACATTGGCAACACATCTTCAGATATTTAGCATCCTGCTTTTTAAAAGGCTACCATCATCCTAATTTACTATAAAAATATACTCCTCTATTGAAAATATCTGAAAGTGGCATTCAGGTTAAAATAAACGTTATAAACAGTTTTAAATACTTCTACTCACGGAGTACCTAGGGAGTCTACCTTTAAATTTCTTTTTTCAAAAGATTCTCTTAATAGTCCCAACAGTAACCTAGACTCAGTTAATTTACTTTCTATAAAGTCTGACAATATGCCACAGTGAGTTAAAAACTATTATAATAATGCTAATGCTCTGTTTACTAAGTTACTCCTGTGGCTTACTATGCTGTACCTGTTCGTGCAAGGGAATAAGCCGGCTCCCTTCATATAATGTTCAGTGCCTAGGGGTTCACAAACGATGCTGACAAAATCCCCCTTTTTTTGCTACTTAGGTTGGAGAGCTAATAGGGTTGAGGTATATAAATAAAATACTGAGAGTTTAAAAGGAAAAAGGTATCTGCATGAGTGTTTGGATGCAAGATGATACTGCTCTAACCCGGAAGTTTCTTATCTCCATGTATCCTGTGGTACTGATTGCACCTAAGGACAACTGTTGATGATACCCTTCCTTACCCACGATATATTTTTCCTTCTTCCCCTATTTGCACTTTACAACTCTGACCCATGCTGCTAAGACTGATAGCGATCAGGGATTTAAAAATAAATATCATCCGCACAACCTCTTTTTTGCCTCCTACAAATCTTACTTTCAGATAGATTCAAGCCACATCAATCGTATTTTACGGAAAGCAAAACATGAAAAGACATTTTGGGCATGAAAAGTTAAAATTATGAAAAAACTTCAACAAAATAAGCTCTCATAATAGAACTTATCATTAAGAACTGAACTTTACTTCCACGTGTAAAAACGAAGTCTTGATGTTTTCACTGGACCATTCTTCTCTCTTTTAAAGAATTACTGTCCTCCCTTTGTTCACTAGAGCAACTAGTGTATTATATATAGGTTAGCTGACTTCTTCTATCCTATAACATTAAAATATTACCATCCCAAATATTTACAAGAAATCAAGGTCATATTTTTAATACTTATGTTAAGATTTTTTGGCTTTGATTTTTTGGCTTCACCTATTAAGTTCTTATTCCTTAAAAAAAAATTAAAAAAAGAAATCATATTGGTGACGGTTGTTACTGCTGCTAGTTACATCAGCTACCATTTCAGTGTGATTCCTTCTTGCCCACAGTGGGTCCAGAATTGCCTTCCAGGAACTAAGGCCTGGACTTGGGCCCTTCGGGATCTGCTTGGTTCTTTATTTTACTATGGCTGAGCTGGTACCCAAGTTGCAAAGTCCTCTGAACTCTTCCCCTTCCTTTTCCCAGGTGGGAGAAGACTCCCTGGGCCACAGTGCCTGTGGGGAGGGGAAGTTATACAGGCACTGGCTTGGCCACCACCACTGATGCCTCACTGGGTCATGTGCATCCCAATTCCATTGGCTCTGAGCCAGCACAGCCACAGGAATTGCCCAAGGACAGGTAATGCAGCATGGTTTGATTAAGAGTGTTTGAATTTAAGCAGGAATGCTAAAAAAACTAAGAACGAACTAGGTTAATGTAAAACAAAATTAAGAAAAACTAACTCACAGGATTTGTAACTATTTTATTTACTGAACATAAACTAGATGATGTTAAGTATGTGTTGAAACATAAACTAGATAATGTTAAATATGCGTTGAAACAAATCAACTGGACGTCATCCAATCGTGTCCAGAAATATTAAAAAGAGAAATGTGGTAAAAGACGATTTAGAGCCTCAGACATAAGTCCAGATACTTTCAACATGGTCGGGGACAAGCTACCATACAATACTTAGAAGCTATCTTTAAGGAAATACGTGAAGCCAAGCTCCTTGTCACATTTGTATTTACTAAAAATAATGTGATATTCATAAGCCTAGGAATTTATTTCCTACATTTGGATTCTGCCTGTCCTAATCTGTTGTCCATAGGAACAACACATTATTCTATATAATTATGTAGATACTATTAAAAATCTTACCTGATTTCATTTGTAAGAATTAAACCCTGAAACAAATCTGCAAGTAATTATGAAGTTCTTTGGCGTATAAATTGTATGACTGATATTATCAATGTGGAGTGATAAATGATCATGTTAAATAAAACTGTAAAATTATGACAACTATAATATAGAATAAAAGCCAACCTACTGAGATAGATGCTTTTGAAAAATCAAATTAAATCCTGATTAAAACTAAATTAAATCTTAAGTATCTGATTTTAGACTACTTAGGGCTTAAGCAAATGTAATAAATATTTTAATTATAAATAATGTCATGTTAAAAGTGCCTTAAAGTTTCAAAATTATTTTAAAGACCCTCCTTAAAGTATCTTATCACAGATTGTGGAAAACAGCTATAAATAAATAATGCATTGCACACACATACCCTACTTGGAAGTTGATTAACATACTTGTAAAATGAGTATAATTCTTAAACGCTTCCAAAATAATGCACTGAAAACAGTCACCTGGCAAATACATGGTACGAAGTCTAAGTATGCTTATTACAATAATTCGTTAAATACCAAAATATTATAATATTCATTATAAAACCTTTAACACTAGAAAATATAGCAAATTAAAATACATGATAATGTATTTTACCATGGACTGTTAAGCTAAATTTCTTTTTGCAAAAAAGAGAATATATATCATTACTTACTTTATTAGCCTGAATCAAATGAAAATCCTTTCCATAGGCTTTCAGTCCTTGCTCAAAATTTCTACACTCTTCCTCTGTCCAAACAGATAATTCCTCTGATAAAATGGGGAGAACAAACTGTGAAGCAATATACTCCCAAATGTTGCATAAAACAAACAAAACTACAAATAAAAATGTAACTTTCTGGTAAATAAGAGGGAAGCATTTTATTTCTAAGCTCTATTACTAATCATTGCAAAAGAAAGTGACAAAAATTCCTGATTTAATAAAGAATTTGAATCTCTCCAGCCTCAACTTGGGCTACTTTCTTCTTAATTCTTCATGATCCAACTAAATTAGCTATCTTTAAATTCCTTAAATTTGCTATGTTCTTTATTACATCAGACTTCATGCATGGTGTCTCCGTTGCCTAGAATTATTTCCTGCCACCTTCACACTTCATCTCCTTTCACTGAGGTAATTCTTTTATATCCCAACAAAAATAACATTTTGTTCTGGAAACTTTCCCTACGGTCCCATCTTCTCCCTGAACTAGGTTAAGACCCACTGCAACAGGTTTCAATAGCACCCTCTAATTTTCCTTGGAAGAACTCATCATAACTATTTTTCAGTTTCCCTAACCAGGCTCTGAGCACCATGAGGGCAGAGAGACTGTGTTCATAGTAATGCCCTCAGAACTTAGAAAGGCCCTCAAATTTTTGTTGAATGAATAAACAAATATCTCTTGTTATTTAATTATATATTAACAGTAGTCCTAGTGAAGAGGAGTGGGAGCCAGAGTTAGATTAGAAAAGAAAAAGCTGGATTGTAGTTAGGACTTCATTACTGATGAATTATGTTTGCTTTAGTCAAGATACTTTAGTTCAGAGACCAGTCTTATCCATTTTAAAGGTAATGTGTGTCATACTGCTTAGCTCATAGGGCAATTACCAAAGTCAAATAAGAAAATTTGTATAAATATGCTTTGAAAACATAAAGCAGTATGTAATTTTGTCTTTTTTCTTAAGTGGTACTATTTTCCCAAAAAGAAGCCTTAATACCATTTCCATTGATGCCTTTTATACTACTTGTGTTCTGCAAATATTTACTCAACTCAGAAAGATTAGTATTATTAAGCTCAGGATATATCTAGATAAATGGAATAGATTAATTTTTACATTTCTGCCAAATCATGAAAACAAATAAAGACTTAATATTCATGCTTACCTCTAGCTGCTTTTACATTAAATCTTAATCTTCTCAACGCTTCCTCTGTATCAAAATTGCATTTCACCAATTCATATAAAGCCTAGAAAAATAAAAGGTTTCAATGTAACCCAGACTATGAAGAGTTCAATGCTACAATTTCTTAAGAGAGTAAACATTTTTCCAGAATCCAGTATTTTCATCCTTTCTGAAGAGCAAATTTTAGTGAATGCAATATATACAACACCAAGGAAAAACAAACATAAATTCAAACCTGGTAATTAACTCCCTCTAAAATACGTACAAAGTAGGACATGTAAATACTCTAACTTGATGGCCATAGTATCCCAAAACTTTAGAAATAAAAATAAATCATTTTATATAAACCACAATTACTTCTTTGTGGCTTTTTGAGATTCCAATTGTAAGATAATTTTTTAGTAAGAAGAAAAACAATAATTAAAAAGGTAAAAAATATAATGCTGTTATGTTAGGTTCATGGTAGGCACTGATCTTACCATACCATGTACATAACATTATCCCAGATGAGTATTCCAACTTGATATCCAGATTCTCTGGGGTAGCCAGAGGAATTTTTAAAAGCTTAATAAAAAGTATGTTTGGGTAAAATGAAACATCAAGATTTTTGTTTCTGGGAGCAAGATGGTCAGATACAAACTTTCAGCAATCATCCCTCCACACAAACACCAAATTCAACAACTTTCCATGCAAGCAAGAAGAAGATCCTCCAGAAGAGCCAAAATTCAGGTGAGCATTATACTATCTGGTTTTAACATTATATCAAGGAAGGAGGCATTAAAGAGGGCAGAAAAGACAGTCTAGCATTGCCTACGCCACCCTCAGAAATGCTACACCAGCACACCAAATGGAGAGAGAATCTGTGTGCCCGGGGGGAGAGACAGTGAATAAGTGATTGTGGGGCCACGCTGGCATCGTGGAACACAGGACAGAATTCTGCTGGTGCCCTCGGAGGGAACATTTAGACCAGCCTGGGCAGAAGGACATCCTTCGCCCTGAAACCCAAGTTTCAGCTAGCCCTACCAGCAGTTGATAAAAAGTGGCCTGCGGCCTGGAATAAACTGGTAAGGCAGTCAGGCCACAAAGGCTGCAGTCCTTGGGCAATTCCTGTGGCTGTGCTGGCTCAGAGCCAATGGAATTGGGGTGCACATGACCCTGTGAGACACCAGTGGTGGTGGCCAAGCCAGTGCCTGTATATACCTCCCCACCCCACTACAGGCACTGTGGCCCAGGGAGCCTTCTCCCACCTGGGGAAAGTAGGGGAAGAGTGCAGAGGACTTTACAACTTGGGTACCAGCTCAGCCATAGTAAAATAAAGAACCAAGCAGATCCTGAGGGGCCCAAGTCCAAGCCTTAGTTCCTGGAAGGCAATTCTGGACCCACTGTGGGCAAGAAGGAATCACACTGCCCTAAAGAGAAGGACCCATTCTGGCAGGATTCACCACCTGCTGACTACAAAGCCCCTGGGCTTTGAATAAACATCAGGTAGAAAGGCAGCAGTTACCACAGTCTTTGGGTGAGACTGGACTGTCTTCAGGTGTGACCTGGCACTGGTGGCCACATGGGAGTGCCCACATTACTTCTTCCCCAACTCCAGCAGCCCAACATGGAGAGTGAGAGACTGCCTGGTAATCCAAGGAATTCTCTTGTATCTTACCCAAGCCCATCAAGGTGGCACCACCAGAAGACTGCAAAAGTCACAACATCACTGTGCTCGGCACACTCCCAGTGCTGATATGGCTATGGTAACCAAAGACTTAGATAATATTCAATTCCCTTTGAATATTTGGAAACCCTTCTTAAGAAGGAAGGGTTCAAAGAAACCCAGTCTGTAAAGATTAAAGTAAATACCTATCTCCTTGATGCCCAGACATCAACGAACATCCACAAGCATCAAGAATATCAGGGAAAACATGGCCTTACCAAACGAACTAAACAAGGTACCAGTGACCAATCCTGGAGTGATGGAGTTATGTAACCTTTTAGACAAAAAATTCAACATAGTTATCCTGAAGAAGCTCAATGATCTTCAAGACAACACAAGAAGGAATTCAGAAGCTTATGAGAGAAATTTAACAAAGGAGTTGAAGTAATAATAATGTTAAAAAAAAGCAGAAATTCTGGAGCTTAAGGAATCCAACTGACAAATGGAAAAATGCATCAGAATATCTCAATTGCAGAACTGACCAAGCAGAAGAAAGAATTAGTAAGCTTGAAGACAGGCTATTTGAAAACACACTGTCAGAAGAGAAAAAAAAGAATAAAAAAGAATGAAGCACACCTACAAGATGTAGAAAATAGTCTCAAAGGGGCAAATCTAAGAGTTATTGGTCTAAAGAGGAGGTAGAAAGAGAGAGAGACTGGATCGAAAGTTTATTCAAAGAAATAACTGAGAATTTTCCAAACCTAGAGGACAATATCAATAGTCAAGTACAAGAAGGTCACAGAACACCAAGCAGATTTAACTCAAAAAAGACTACCTCAAGTCTTCCTCTGTCAACTGGAAAAAGAAAAAGAACTACCTCAAGGCATTTAATAATCAAGCTTCCAAGGTCGCAGATAAAGAAAAGGTCCTAAGGGAAATAAGAAAAAAGAAAAAAAAATAACATATAAATAGGAGCTTCAATATGTCTGACAGCAGACTTCTCAGTGGAAACCTTACAGGCTAGGAGAGAGTGGTATGAAATATTCAAAGTGCTAAAAGAAAAAACCTTAACCCTAAAATATAATATCCTGCAAAAATATCCTTCAAACATGAAGGAGAAATAAAGACTTTCCCAGACAAATTTTTAAAAGCCAAGGGATTCATCAACACCAGACCTGTCCTATAAGACATGCTAAAAGGAGTTCTTCGATCTGAAAGAAAAGGACATCAATGAATAAGTAATCATCTGAAGGTATACAACTAACTGGTAACAGTAAATACACAAATACAGAATACTCCATTGCTGTAACTGTAGTGCATAAACCACTTATGTCTTGAGTAGGAAGACTAAAAGACAAAGTATCAAAAATACAACAACTTTTTGAAAGATAGCATAAAAAATATGGATGGAAACAACAAAAAAAGCGGGCGAGGATAGAGTTAAATTGTAGAATTTCTGCTAGATTTCTCTTTGGTTGTTTGTTTGTAAGGAGAGTTGTGGTATGTTTAAAATAATTGGTTATAAAATGTTTTCTGCAAGCCTCATGGTAACCTCCAATCAAAAAACCTACAACAGATACACAAAAAATAAAAAAGCAAGAAATTAAAACACACTACAAGAGAAAATCAATTTTAACAAAGGAAGACAAGAAAGAAGGACAGAAGGAAGAGAGGACCACAAAAGAACCAGATATCAAGGAACAATATGGCACTAGTAAGTGCTTAACGATCAATAACAACACTGAATGTGACTGGACACCAAACTCTCCAAACAAAAGACAGAGTAGCTGAATGTATTAAAAAAAAAAAAAAAAAAAAAGACCTAACCATATGCTGACTACAAGAAACCCACTTCACCTATAAAGACACAGACTGAAAATAAAGAGATGGAAAAAAGATATTCCATGCAAATAGTAACTAAAAAAGAGCAGGAGTACCTATACCTCTATCAGATGAAATAGATTTCAAGACAAAAACTATAAAAAGAGATGAAGTAATTATAAAATGATAAAGGGGTCAATTCAGCAAGAGGATATAACAATTCTAAATATATATGCACCCAACACTGGAGTACCCAGATATATAAAGCAAGTATTATCAGAGCTAAGGAGAAAGATAGACATCAATACAGTAATCACTGTAAACTTCAACAGTCCACTTTGAGCACTGAACAGACCATCCAGAAAGAAAGAAAATCAACAAAGAAACACTGGACTTAACTGCACTATAAACCAAATGGACCTGGTATTTACAGAACATTTCATCCAACAGCTGCAGAATACCTGTACTTCTCCTCAGCTCATGGATCATTCAAGGACAGACCGTATGTTAGGCCACAAAATAAGTCTTAAAATTAAAAAAAGAAAAACTGAAACCGTACCATGTATTTTCTCTGAACACAATGGAATAACATAACAAGAGGAACACTGGAAATTATACCGACACATGGAAATTAAACAATATGCTCCTGAATGACCAGTAGGTCAATGAAGAAATTAAGAAGGAAATTTTAAAATTTCTCAAAAAAAATGAAAATAAAGACAACATATTAAAACTTACTGCAAAAGTAGTGATAACAGGAAAGTTTACAGCAGTAAGTGCCTACATCAAAAAAGTAGAAAATGCATCTCAAAGAACTAGAAAAAACAAGAGGAAACCAAACCCAAAATTAGTAGTAAAGAAATAATAAAAATCAAAGCAGAAATACAAGAAACTGAAACAAACAAACAAAAAATACAAAAGATCAACGAAACAAAAAGTTGGTTTTTTTTTTTGGAAAAGATAAACAAAACTGACACACCCACAGCCAGACTGGGAAAAAAGAGAGAAGACCCAAATAAATAAAACCAGAGATGAAAAAGGAGACATTACAACTGACACTGAAGAAATCCAAAGGATCATTAGAGACTACATGAACAACTATATGCCAACAAATCGGAAAACCTAGGAAACATAGATAAATTCCTAGACACATGCAACCTACCAAGATTGAACCAGGAAGAAATCCAAAACCTAAATAAACCAATAACAAGTAACAAATTAGAAGCAGTAATAAAAAGTCCCCCATCAAAGAAAATCCTAGGACCTGATGGCTTCTCTGCTGAATTCTACTAAACATTTAAAGAATTAATACCAATCCTACTTAAACTATTCCAAAAATTAGAGGAGGAGGGAATATTCTTAAACTCATTCTTCAAGGCCTGTATCGCCTTGACACCAAGCCAGACAAAGACACAACAAAAAAAGAAAATTATAGGCCAATTATCTCTGATGAACATAGATGCAAAAATCCTCAACAAAATACTAGCAAACCAAATTCAACAACACATTAAAAAGATTATTCACCATTATCAAGTGGGATTCATCCCTGGGATGCAAGAATAGTTCAACACACACAAATCAATCACTGCAATACAGCGTATCAAAAGAATGAAGGACAAAAACCATATGATCATTTCTATTGATGCTAAAAAAAGCATTCAATAAAATTCAACATCCCTTCATGATAAAAACTCTCAAAAAGCTGGATACAGAAGGAACTTACCTCAACACAATAAAAGCCATACAACAGACACACTGCAAGTATCATACTGAATGGGGAAAAACTGAAAGCCTTTCTGCTAAGATGTGGAACAAGACAAGGATGCTCACTTTTCACCACTGTTACTCAGCATAGTACAGGAAGTTCTAGCTAGAGCAATCAGAAAAGAGAAAGAAGAAAAAGCATCCAAATTGGAAAAAAAATTCAAATTATCCTTGTTTATAGATAATATGATCTTACATCTAGAGAAACATAAAGACTCCACAAAAAAACTATTAGAACTGATAAGCAAATTCAGTAACACTGCAGTATACAAAATCAATGTACAAAAATCAGTAGCATTTCTATATGCTGACACCAAACAATCTAAAAAAGAAATGAAGAAAAGTAATCCCATTTACAATAGCTACAAATGAAATAAAATACCTAGGAATAAACTTAACCAAAGAAGTAAAAGACCTCTATAATGAGAATTATAAAACACTGATGAAAAGATACTGAAGAGGACATAAAAAATGGAAAGATATTCCACGCTTATGGATTCCACGAATCCGTACTACCCAAAGCAATCTACAGATTCAATGCAATCCCCAAAATACCAATGACATTCTTCACAGAAACAGAAAAAAATAATTCTAAAATTTGTATAGAACCACAAAAGACCCAGAATATCCAAAGCCATCCTGAGCAAGAAAAACATAACTGGAGGAATCACATTACCTGACTTCAAATTATGCCACAGAGGTATATAGTAACCAAAACAGCATGGTACTGACATAAAATCAGGCACAGAACAATGGAACAGAATTAGAGAACTCAGAAATAAATCCACATATCTACAGTAAACTATCTTTGACAAAGGTGCCAAGAACATTCAGTGGGGAAATAAATGGTTTTGGGAAAACTGGGTATCCATATGTAGAACAATGAAACTAGACCCTTATCTCTCACCATATACAAAAATCAAATCAAAATGGATTAAAGACTTAAATCTAAGACCTGAAACTACTGAAAGAAAACACTGGGAAATGCTTCAGGACATTGGTCTGGACAAGGACTTCTTGAGTAATATCCCCAAAGCACAAGCAACCAAAGCAAAATTGGACAAATGGGATGACATCAACTTAAAAAGCTTCTGCATAGCAAAGGTAACAATCAACAGAGAGAAGAGATAATCCACAGAATGGGAGAAAACATGTGCAAATTACCTATCTGACAAAGGACTAATAATTAGAATATATAAGGAGTTCTAACAACTCAATAGCAAAAAAATCAAATAATCCAATTAATAAATGGGCAAAGGACCTAAACAGACATTTCTCAAAAGAAGACATACAAATGGCCAACAGGTATATGAAAAAATGCTCAGTATCATTAGTGATCAGAGAAATGCAAATCAAAACTACAATATCATCTCACCCCAGTTAAAATGGCTATCAAAAAGGCAATAACGAATGCTGGCAAGGATGTGGTGAAAGGGGAATCCCCATACATTGTTGGTGGGAATGTAAACCTACCAACCACCATAGTGCAACCACTATGGAGAATGGTATGGTGGTTCCTCAAAAAACTAAAAACAGAAAATACCATATGACCCAGCAATTCCACTGCTGAGTATAATCCAAAGGAAGGGAAATCAATATATCGAAAAGATATCTGCACTCTCATGTTTATCCCACTAGTCACAATGCCAAGATTTGGAACCAACCTAAGTATCCATACATGGATGAATGGATAAAGAAACTGTGGTACATATACACAATGGAATATTATATAGCCATAAAAAGAATGAAATGCAGTCATTTGCAACAACATGGATGGAACTGGAAAACATTATGTTAAGTGAAATAACCCAATCTCAGAAAGACAAATCTCACGTGTTCTTGCCCATATGTGGGAGCTAAATATTAAAAACAATTGATCTCATGGAGACTGAGAGTAGAAGGATGGATACCAAAGGTTGGGAAGGGTAGTGGGGAGGAGAGGACAAAGTGGGATGGTTAATGGGTGCAAAAAATATAGTTAGATAGAATGAACATTTGATAGTACAACAAAGAGATTATAATCAACAATAAGTTAGGGTATACTTTAAAATACCTAACAAAGTGGAATTAGAATGTTCCTAACACAAAGAAATGATAAATGCCTCAGGTGATGGACACCCCAATTACCCTAACTTGATTAATTCACACTGTATGCCTGTATCAAAACATCACATGCACCCTATAAAGATATACAAGTATTATGTACCTACAGTAACTAAAAAATAAAATTTAAAAAGTTAGATTTTCTACTTTAAAAAAAAAGTTTTGTTTCTTTATTTGAGCTAAAATCATACCAACAGCTAGCATGGTAACAACAGGTATCTTATGCCAATTATAATCTCAGCTTCCCTATTGATAGCATTATAGGAATTTTGGTAGGCAGAATAATAAATAAATGACAGCATTCACATTTATAAATGTGTTTGGTTAATTTATTTTGGGAAAATTCTAACAGTTGTTTCTTAATCGCATACCTGTTCATTGTCTTTTATGTGAGATCCTTCAGGAATTGCTTCTACACCTTTCTCATCACCTGTTCTTCTAGATGCATCCTTAAGAAACACAATCACTTTATCTTCTGGTAAGTACTCAGGGTCCCACAGGAGCTGATCATCATTTTCATATACTAAATTAGTAAAACATAATGTTAAAAGAATTGCCAAAAATTGATAGAGTTTGTGCTAAAATACATCACTGAACAAATAACTCATATGCAGAGTCAAATCTTGAGAACTTAGAGGTAAAGTGTGGTTCTACTACTTGCCTGAATTCTTTCTTGGGCAATATTTATAGCCTAGTGATTCAAGCAATCTGAACAGACAGGAGGTACCACTTTATGTTTCCTGCAGATCCAGTCTTATTTAACCCTGAGTTTACCAAATTCCAAGCTCAGTTTGATTACTACCTCCACCACTTACTACTTGTAAGACCATGGGCAAATTACTTCCCTTCTCTCTATCTCATCTGTGAAATGGGGATAACAATAACTCTACCAAATAGATATAAAGATTTAAAGCACTGTAAAATAGTTCTGGCACATATTAAGGTTCAATGAATATTAGCTATAATTATTTTTTGAGAGATGTCTAGAAGAATGCTCACCAAATGTTAATACTGCTTATTTCTTGGTGGTGAGATCTAGAGCAATTTCTTTACTTTCTTCTTTATATTTTTCTGTGATGCTTAAAAATGTTATTATAATGTGTATAAATCACTTTCATAAAAACAAAAGATATTATTTTTTAAAAAGCATTTAAGTTTCATCATAATTTCTACTATAATAAAATTAAAGCCTAAATCTCACCAAAATTTAAAAAGTGAAAGGAAAGGAAGGTGACCTAAGACAGAGCCTGTGGAATTTCACATGATAAGAAGATGAAAACACAGATAAAATTAAGTAGAAATAGTTACAAGATCAAAAAAAAAAAAAAAAAACACCACAAATGTGGCATCACAGCAGCTAAGGTAAGAAAGTGTTTCAAAGAGTGGTTTCAAAAACTGGTTAAATGCTGTTGCGTGACCAGGATGAAAATTTTAAAAGGTATGCTGGATATACTAAGGAGGTGAATGTTGTGAGAACTGTTTCTATGCAGAGATGGAAGCAGAAGCCATACTGGAGAAGACTGAAGAGTAAATGGGAAGTGAAGAAATAGAGTAGAAAACTTCTGAAAAGTCTGATTGTGAGGGTGGAGACAGGGCAGCAGCTAGAGGGAGGAAGTAAAGTTTTTATGTTGTTTTTGTTTGCTTGCTTTCAAAGATAGGAGACAAACATTTAAATGCCAACGGGAAGGAGCCAGCTTGAGAAAGACTTTAAGAGACAAAGGATAACTGATAGTGTCAAAGTTCCTCATATTATGAAAAAGAATTAACAGCTAATTAAGCATCTACTATGTGCCAGTCAATGTAGTTAAGTGTATTCACATAAATTATCTTGCCCTATCACCCACATACACTTCAAAACCTTTTTTCTACCTTTTTCTGTTTCCCAAAACAGATGCTCTTCTTTAAAGTACAGCTCTAAGGACAACAGCTAGAAATTTTTCCTTAATAAATGTCATTCCTTTACTAACCTGCTGGTATAATCCTAGTTAAACTCTAAACTAATACAATAAAACTACCATGATAAAATCAATCTGGATATATTGCTACTGATTTCTGTTCTTGCCTCAGCCTCTGTTCTCCAAAAAGAAGAGACTATAGTTCTTATATTCTTGGAAATCCTGACTCAAGGAGAAAAAGATGAAGGTAGGTCCCTGAGTCCTAAGCGTTTTCTCAATTACATACTCCCAATTTGGGCCTAAGAAACAGCATAAACAAACTGGAAGATATTTCTGGAACCACTGCCAATATTTAGAAGTCCCAGGTAGCTACAACAGGACACAGAGATGTCCTTACTTACTTAAGCTGAGTGGACAACCATCACCAGATGGCGCCAAATGACAAGTCAGTCTCCTGGAACTGTGGCTAGCAAGACAGATAAGCTAGCCCTGATTATTTCATTAACTTCAAAATAAATACTTCATGTTATGCAATTACAGTATGACCATAATAATGAACAGAAGGTAAGAATAATCGGCATCTCCAGAGAATAAGCCACACTGCTTTTACTGGTTCCAGACACACACCAATTATTTTCCAGTTAAGCATATGCTCTAAATAAAACGTGTAACTTCTGACTATGATTCTTGGCAATGGGTTTTTTTGTTTTTGTTTTTTGTTAAAAAAGAGGGTTTCACTATGTTGCCCAGGCTGGAGTGCAGGGACTAATTCATAGGCATGATCATCGCATACTATAGCCTCAAACTCCTGGGCTCAAGTGATCCTCCTGCCTCAGCCTTCCGAATAGCTGGGACTATAGGCACGGACTACCATGTAACAGTTGTTTTTTAATTAAACATCTGCTATGGAAAGACTAAAATACCAAGAGGATCAGAAATTCAGAAGAACTCCACTACTATGATAAAACACTAAAAAACAAAGGAGAAACAACATCTATAAGAAGAAAAAAACTAGTAATGGCAATAGAAAGAGTTACTTTTTATTAAGTGACATGAACATGCTACACTTTGAAAAATCACAATCATTGAAATGTAATGGAATTTTCTGGCACTATTTCATTCTAAATCAATTACCAGCCCTAAATATTATAACTTTTAAAAAGCAATCACAAATACATCCCCTTCATACTACTGTAAGACTTAATTTGTATGCAATTATAAATGAGTAAGAGTTCAGAAACTTCACGAGTATATTAACACGTTAGCTTACAAAGTGCTTCTACAGTGTCTTCTGAAAGCATAAATGCTGACTCAGCCGCTGTAAGACAGGGCCCCAGATTCTACATTTCTCACTGATTCACAGGTGAATCTGATGTTGCTGGTCTCTGGACAATAGTTTAAGTAGCAAAGCACTGACATATCTCATCATTTCAGTTATTTTATTATCTAAAATATAATTTTAAAAATCAAAAGTAATCAAATTAACCTTATCAAATAAGCAAAATAAGTCAGTAAAATAATTTCACAAAGTCCAGTGTGTGTATATATGTGTCTCTGCTGGTGGTGGGGGATGCAAGCATTTGAGAAGTGAGAGAAGATCACTGTGCATTCTAACTAAGGAAAAACAGTAAAACAGACGTAAGAAGCTAAAAGACCATCACCACAAAACCATAACAAACTTCTGCAATCTGGGAAATTAATTCCCAATGAATAAATGTCTTATTTATTAACTGCCAATTTTACCAAAAGAAGTGTTATTACATTTTTAATGCCTAAGTAAAAATTCTATTGATTTATGATCTATAATCAGCACTATGATTTAAGAATGGTGTAACAGAAATTGCCATGTTCTTAAAAGGTCACCATGTTTAATGACAGGGACTTTTAAGTTGTCTAGCTGAGTTTTTTCCTATACAAAGGTTAAATGAACAGCCTGTTTCAACAGTACTATTACGAACTAAGGGTACTATATTTGTTCATTTTTCAGTAAGTTATTTAAGAATTAAAAATAATTTGTCAAATATTTATTAGAAACAATTTACATGGTTCTTTACTATTCACTATTTAATAATTCCTAACCATCTAAAATATATGTCAGGCAAGCATGAAAATTTGACTGAGAATATAGTTAATTACTCCTTTCCCCTGACATTTTTTCTTTTTTTTTCTAAATAGCCCAACTAATTCGCAATTTACCTAGTCCAGAGTTGTCAATCTCAAGATTACTGCCATCTTATTCTTATTAGTGTCAAGATTGTTCTTAGTGGTGGGAGGCTGTCCTGTGCATTGTAGTTTGTTTACCAGCATTCCTTACCTAGTCTTATTACAAAACCACAGTGCTTACTTAGTTTAGTATAGGGGAGAAACAATAAAACACATATAACTTTGAAAAATCATCTTATTAATACAATGCTTTTCATCTGCCCAACATCTCTTTGGGAATTATACCCTTTCTCATATGGCCTGGGTGGGGCCTACACTACCCGCTGAAGTCCCAGAAATAAATAAATAAGCCAGGACAAGCCAGAGTACTCACTCCTCTCTCTCTCTCTGTCTCTCTCTCTCTCTCTCTCTGATCACAGTGATTACTTCTGGCTGGGTATGTAATTCAAGCTGAGTCAACTGGGGCTCTCTCCAGGACTTTTGCTGGAGTTCTGAGGGATGATTAAATTCTCATTTTTGCTGGTTCTCTAGCCAAAAGGACAGTGTAAAGTGTAACCCAAGAGCTCCCAGTAGTCATCTTAGCCTATCTGAGGAAAAGAGAGAAAGGGGCAGAGCACCTGATATCCTAAGGGACCCTTTATACATAAATATTTGAAGCCAGACCAGTATAGATTTCCAGGAAAGGAATCCAGTAAATTCTATTTTGCTTAAGGTAACTGAATTGGATTTTTGTCACCTGCAACCAAGAGAGCACCAACTCATGCTTTCCGAAAATCTCATTAATAAAACCTAAATATTAATATAATGGATAAAATTAATCATCTTTTGGATATTAATTCCACTTACTGAACACTTATTAATACCATATGCCAGATACTATGCTGCTAAGTGCTATACATGAAAATATCACATGTAATCTTCACAACAGCTCTGCAAATAAATGCTACTATTGTTATTTTACAGACGAAAAGAAAAAGTAACAAGTCTAAAGTCAAATGCTTAGGTACTGATCCAAGTTGACTGAGTCCGTATCAGTTCTGTTAACACCATTCAAAATTCACCTATTAATTCAGGCACCAAATGTTTACTAACTGCCTATGTGGCAAGGATCAACGTAGTTAGTATTCAGGATACGAAGATGAATAAACAAATAATCACAATACACTGCTGAGTATAAATGAAAATTTACATAAATTTAAGAAACTGTTAATAAATGTGTAGCTAAGGAGCTTTTGTAAACAAAATAGATACAGGTTCAAAAGAGCATGCCTGGAATGTTATTGTAACTAACAATCTTATTTATTTCTGATCTGTCAAATGATCACTACAGAAAAGACAACAAAAAAAGATCCCTACAACGAAGATATCATGATATCTTAGTTTTGTGGCACTTTTTATTAAAAAGCCTATGCTCACCAAACTGAAGAAAAATATTCTATGAAATTTTTTCCCTAAGAATCCACTAATCAGCACTATCCCTTTCAGAGTTTTATTTCTAACAGTATGATTTATGTAACAGTTTCGTAAGTTTGGTTTGTGTACATAGGGGGCCCTAAGTGGAGGCAAATTCTGAATATCTTGACAAAAAGTTCAAATTTCTAGAATTACAAAGGTTGAGGAAAGGCCCTGTACTATAGTAACCCCTCTGAAGCAATGATATTGCTAAGTCTAGTCTGATCCTTCTTATACAATCTAACATGCTTCAATTCTCAAAATGAGAAAGCTTCATAAATCACATCTTTTCCTTTAAAAAATTATGTATGTATAATTGCTTTCTAAAATCACATTAAAATTGAAAACATTAAGCCAGAATTAAAAACATAAAAAATTAGAGATTGTGATCATTATTCATTCACTGCTGATATCTGACAATACAAACATACTAAAATAAAAGATAAAATATATTAAGAGATAATTAAAACTATCTTTAGCCATAATATGAATTTGCAATAGAACTGAGATGTCTCCTACCCATCTACTAAATACAAAATTTTCAAAGATGGGCACTATTATCTTTCATAGCCAAAATTTAAAAGAAATTTAATAAAAAGGAACAAATGTCTAATTTTCAGTTCTTCATTTATTTGCAGAAAGAAAAAAACTCAATGAACAGGTGTTAACCATTAAATAACGTATAAAGAGAGCATAAAGTTTAAATTTTAACTATAAAAATAAATACAAAAGCCAATGGATCTTTTATTTTTGCACATAATCACAATGTGTTTCCAGAACATACGCAGAGAATTTCAATATATAACAAGGGCACTCCATATACTGATACCTTCAGTGTTCCTATATGTTGCAGGAATTACTACCTTGAGAAGTAGAAGCTGTTAAACATTTAAATGATGTATTAAAATATTTTTGCTGTCATGAAAACTTACTGGCCTGTGATGTTCCCTTTAATGACTCTGACCTGCTCCTTGTCCTGAGAGCAGGTACATACTTAGAATATAAAGTAAGTTTTTAGAGAGAATGCTAAAAAGAAACAAGCAAAAGACTTCTACGACTCCAAAGGGCCTTGCATATGTAAAGCTGTAATGCAGAGAAGAAAATTAAAGAAATGAAGAAAGAGTTCTAGCTTTGAGTCATGTCACACTGCACATGAACTCATTTAAGAACACACAACACAGCATTCTTTCTGGAACCCACCCAAGTGAATAATCTGAAACAGACTCCTAAAAAAAAAATCCTCAAGTACTAGGTTACTGGTAGTATGACTTACCTTAGGGACTTTTAGATAAAATAAAGAATAAAGAAAAAAATCAGGTAAAATTTAAGTAAATAAGCTATTTTCCCAAATTATTTGGAAATCACATATATCAAAGTACTCCATTTTAATAATTTTGAAAGTTTCAGAAGTAAATAAGCTTTTTATACCAGTTGTTTACTCTCATGTTTGTTTTTAAACCTTCCACTAACATAAAATAACCTGCTAACTTATAACTAAGTTATAAAGATTAGAAAATGGTTAAAGTTCAGAGAACATTTGAAATATGGAGGAGAAAAGAAGCAAATGGTTGGAACATTTTAAGTCATTTAAAAAAGCATTTACTTCTTCTTTTTTTGGCTAGACTTCTAGGGGACAAAACTGGAAAAACAGTAAATATATTTCTCTTTACAGAAATAATGCAGGGTTCTCTTTCATAAACCAATGGGGTTACAACTGGATTACTTTACTTAGTAGGCAGTCATGTTCTTACCACATTTTTACATACACAACAACTCACTTCAAAAGCATAAATTCAATTACATAATTTACTAATAACCCACCTTTTTCATTTTCTTTGTATTTACAAATGCCAACTGGAATCTCTGCTTGAAACATGGAGCCCACCATAATCTCCTATTTTAAAAATAACACAAAGCATTAGTAAGATCTAGTAACACAGATTTTATATCCATTTTCTAGCTTTAGCATCTTCTTGGTAAACTGCTCCTGGTTTCTCTGTCACAAAATACAGATACAACCAATTAACTACCTCAGAAGTATTGTGAGGATGAATGAGTTAATAATAGATAAGGGCTTGGATATGATTGGATGAAAATATTAGTAATAATAATGAGGTGAAATGCAATGTAGACATGAAATACAAACTTTTACTTCAAAATATAAAGAAAAAGAAATAAAAGGGAATTCTGATAATTAAATTAGTAATTGCAAAACACCTAAAAACAGTCAAATTCAGATATTTTTAGAGTATCGACACTTAAGGCAGTGGTCTTAAAATATGTTTCCTGCATCAGCAGCTTTAGTGTCACCTGGGAAATTGCTAGAAATGCAAATGCTCAGGTCCCAGCCCAGACCTACCTACAGAATCAGAAACTCTGGAGATATGGCTCAGTAATTAGTATTTTAACAAGCTCTCTAGGTGATTCTGACATACACTTATGTCTAAGAAGTAGAGCTTTAAGGTAAGGGAAATAACAGAAAGTGCGTGTTTATATAAATTAGCTCAGTAGGGGCAAACAGATGAAACTGCAAACAAAATAGGTAAGTGGTTTTGAGTTTGACTTTCTTATTACAGGAAATCTGGAAATCAAATCTATATAGTCAAATCACAGATTAGGTAAAACTGGTTGTTCAGAAAAGCAACTGGAACCCACCACTGATGAGATTTCACACTGCATATGGACCAAGATTACATGGACTCTCTTTTGTTGGTGGCTAAATGTTAAGAACAAATTTACTGGCATATTCAAAATGAAGATTTGGGCATGAAAGATACAAAATCATGGTCTAGAGAGTTAAGATAACTCTTAGGATTTGAAAAGTTCCTCTCGCCTCCTATTGTTAACCTACTGATGTTAGGATCTCATTTCTCTAGTATAATTTCAAAGACATGTTATATGTAATAAAGTCATTGCTATACCTGTATAGGAAAACCAGTCTTGTTCATGATCCCTTTTCTAAAAAGAATATCACATAGAACAAATTTTCTCCACTGTTACATAAGAACTCTCTTTATGTCTTCCACTATAAAAAGAATCCTCTATTGTTACTCCTTGTGCCTCTTTTAACTTTACTCACCTATGCCTGCTAAAGATTTATCAATGCTGGCTGGGGCACTTCTAAAAATATCAATACCTGGATCCATTCCAGGTCAACTAAATTAGAATCTATGGACAAAAGCCCTGGTAGTCAATAAAAGTTCTCCAAACCATTCTAACATAAAGCCAGGGTTGAGAACATCTAGACTAGTATAAAAGATAAGGCACTTTCTTTTTCCTTTCAGTTCAGAATACTTCTTTTTACCTCCTAATTTGTTCTGTAGTGTAGGGAAAGGAAACAGGATTTAAGATCCTTATACCAGGTATCTTACATGTAATTTTCATTTAATCTTCATCAAGCCCTGTAAGGCTGATACTGTTTACTCCCATATTATATGTGAGGACATGAAGCTGAAAAATTTTTCTCAGGAACACACAATTAGCAAGTTCTAGGGCTATAACTTAAGTTTGATTTCAAAGCTGTTTCCCCATCCTAGTTTTTAAAAAATTCAATTTCATCTTATAAGCCTAAAAAAATTGAATCTCAACAATTATTTACTGCAACAAAATCATATCAGATACAACTGGAAACAATCTGAATTTACTATAGCCTGCTTTATTACACAATTTTTTCTGAGGAACATCAGGCTAATATCCCCAGCAATGAAAGCTTCACCTGCCCCCACGTTCTCCCTCCCTTTTGTTCCTACATTAAAAAAAATTACTGAACGCTTAATCAAATACTCTATTGAACACTCTAGATACAAAAACAATATATGCTGAAGAAAAAGATATAAAACCTTGAATGTATTGTGGAAAATAGCAGATTAAGAGGACTCCTAAGGTTTCTAGCTTTTTTCATCTTAATTTCCGCAGGTGTAGGAATCAGATAAAAACTAGATTGAAGAACACTTGCCCAAAGAGGTCACACAAATAGTAGGTAACTTTTGTGATCCCTGTTTTCCATCTTCGGTCCCATCACTTATTCAAATTAACTAACATATATTACACACTGAGCTAATTGTCCCTCACTGTTTTAACCCACCACATTGATGTCTGTTTCTTTGAACATCTACAGCTTTTCATTGGTTTCATTCAATTTAACATTTAATAATGCATTTACTTATGCTATACTTATATAACCTCTTTCAAGGGATGTCCCACCAATCTACAGCAAAAACATAAGCTTCTTGAGAAAAGGAGTTCCTATCTCTTAATAACTATATAAATAGCAGGTATTCATCACTTTCTGAATGTAGAAAATTATGCCTAACTCTTTCGACTCCAGTCACTAATTATTAAAAGTTATCCAGCCTCTCTTTATCTTTGCTAGGGAAGACAATGCATGCCTATGAGAAATATCCCTTTGGGAACCCATAAATAGATCAACTCTGGCTGAATTCCAGAATCCTAAGGTAGTCCAGTCCAAGTTCATTTGAATATTTTATTCCTCCTAATACAAACGCTAAATAGGAGATATTCCTTTATTTTAATCAGCAAGAGGGTCAGTTCTTTTTTAAGTTTGTATGAGGCATCCTAAACCAGAAAACTTTAAACCAATTAAAAAACAAAACAGAAATCTCAAAGTATTAACTAATAATTAAACAATCTTGACTTAAAAAGCACAAAAAGCCCACTCGATTTAATGTTTTGGGCTATTTTGCTTCCAAAGCAATGATTATTTATGTACTATATTTCAAATCAGGCCTAGGAAGAACTACAAAAAAACTTAAT